TTTATTGTTTAACCCAGGGCTTCTTAAACTTTTTTTATTCACGACACCATTTATGATTGTGATTTTGTTTAAGAAGCCCTGGTTTAACCAATTCACCTTATCAGCTGAAAATTTATAATTTTCAGCTGATAAGGTATTTTAATTTAATCTTGCCCTTTCCTCTCTTTAATTTTTTTTTATATATAAGCATAAAATTTTCATAATATAATACAATATATTTTGTGATATGAAGAATGTTTCACCCTGTTTCAGGAAAATAACAAAAAACATAATTATACAAGTAACTTAGTCATACTATCCTAAAATAATCAGAAAGCTCAAGTATACCAGTTATTCATGAACAAATTTAATTATCTAATTTTTATTAGTATCTTTATGCTCTTTAATTCTGTAAAGAACTCAGAATGTTTAAATAAAATATCATTAGACAAATTCATCATATGTAAGAGATTTAAGTTTTTCTAAAACAAATTCAAACTGCAGAGAATTAATTACTTTAAATCAGGTGTCCAACCCGCGGCCCTCTTTAAAATGGTGTTTTGTTGTTGTTTTATTAATTAAAGACCCAAATAAAACAAATATTTGTGTTTTTCAAATAAATTTTTGTTTGACTTCTTTATAATAAATAAAATTATCTATTTCTAAGTAGAAATTAAAAGTGTCTTTCAATGACTTCTTCCAATGTGGTCCAGAGAAACAAAAAGGTTGGACACCCCTGCTTTAAATGGTAAATTCCAACCATTTTGCTGTGTAATTTTATTACAGTATTATGTAATTCCCTTAATATGAGAGCAGTTAGACATGAATTATGTATAATATGTAACACTTATCCTGATCCAAAAGGGGACATAAATCCGACAATATCACTCTCTATATTCATTTTTCTCCCTCGTGGGTAAAGAATATACAGATATCAAGAAGTTCTCATCTCTGAGTATATTGGTCTGTACAATATTTAATGTGCGAGGAACTCATTGAATGCATTATACCTGGTGTTGGGCATTTTTCCCTTCCTCATTTCTTCACTGTTAGGGAATCATCTCCAGAGCACTGTTCCAAAAAGAATGTGATTTTTTTTTCTATATATGTATGTATATACAGTAGCACCCTATAACACGGTAGATACGTTCCATGTTATATGAATTCCCTGTTGTACAAGTCACTTAAGTACATGAGCCAATCGCAGCCCGGCACGTGTGCAGTTTAGCGGCTATGGCAGTTTGAAAGGTTTTCTTCCATAAAATTAATCGATTCTAGATTAATTTGACTCAACATTTCCACATTTTGGGAATAATCCATATAAACTATGCTATAAACAAAAAATTGTAGGATTACTTACCAAGTGCGCACCGTTTGAAGACGCCATTGCTTAAGCTTGTTTTTGTCGCGGAGCGGTTCATTGAATGGCCTACGCATGTTTCCTGATAAGTTATTTTTCTGCAAAAAATTCGCTGAACTTTGGAGACATCATTAATATAAATATAATTTTTATGGACGTTAAATAATAAATGGTTTTTAGTTGGCTCGTTTAAACTCAACGGTTCATGCAATATCCACTATTGGTCTAGATTCGACTATCCTGTCACGACACGAATCGGCAATGACATTTTAGCGTGTTATAAGAAAACGTTTGCAATTTTTTTGCCGTGTTATACGAATCCGTGTTATAGAGGGGTCTACTGTATAATATATATATATATTTTCATTCTAGTGGTGTGTGATACTTGGGATAAAGAGTCCTTTTATCCTGTTCCTGTATGTGCTCACTAGTCCTTTTTGAAGAATCTCCTAAGCCCATTTGGTGATTACGTTTATTGAGATGAAGCCCAAAAGAGAAAAGATGGATGCCGCACCAATTTTCTTGTTTTTATATCTTTATAGTTGTCACCTTTTCCTTTCCACCAATTGGCGATAGCACAGTCAGACTTATTCAGACATGCACCTGACAGAACAAGACCATTATCACCTCCAGCAATAAGTACACATGAGGTATTACAAAAACACAGGGTGAAAATAACAATACATGTCACAAATATGGGACAGAAGTACCACAATTATAAACAAAACAGAAACATTAAAATTTTCATTAATTATTACAGAGGGAAACAACTGTAGGCACTGAATCAAGTCTCATATTAAGGAAACTTACATTCTGGTTTTGAAATCATTGTCCAAAATCAGATTTACAAACTTATCATGTAATCAAATGTCTGACAATTTGTTTATTTTGATTCAGTGTCATACATTGCTTTTATTTGTATGCTTTATTTTATTGCTAATTCAAAGAGAATTAGGAATAAAACAAAGCATAGAATAGCATAGAAAAATATTAGAATAGTCTAGCATGAATTAGAATGCTAAACTATTCTAATCTTTTTCTCCTCTCTTAAAGGATCTCTCTTCTAGACCTTGATGTCTTATCATATTCTTATGCTTCACTTATCTCATTTTTTTTGTAAAATTTAGTTCACATATCTGAAAACAATTTTGAATTTTATTATTTAAAATGTTTTAAATATATGTTTAAACTTTTCTAAGAAACTTTAAAATCTAATATTAACTGACTTTATTTCATATTAAATTTAATTTTTTGATTTTTTTTAAATGCATTTCAGAAGTACAGGTATTCCTTGTATAACATAGTAGTTACACTCCAAAAAAGTGCTGTGTTATAAGAATCCATTCTATAAAAACAAAGGACTAATGCAAAACATGGGGTTACATTCCAGAAGTTAGCAAAAGTAGTCTATTCTTTTTCATTACTAAGAAAAATACATTTATTAAAGCAATCAATAATTAATTAACATTTACAATTAAAAGTACTGTATTAAACATTCATATTAATTTTAGTTAAATGAGGGCATTTTCTTTTTACAAAATATTGTCGTCATCTGTTTTTTTTGTTGATCTTAATCAGAAGTATCAGTAATATTTTCATATTTTTTATTTTTATCATAAAAATTTTTTATGGATGATGAAATAAAAATATGCTACTAATAGAAAATATGTTTTAGTGGGTCATGTTTGTTCAGTTGAATACCGAGTGACTTTTTTCCAGAATTTGTGTTTGAATATTGAGTTGTTTGAGTACCAAAACACTGCTATATTCCATTTGTCATTTTTACGAATGAAGTAATTATTTGTAGGTAAGTAATACTTATGGTTAAAAAAGTTTAATAACACTTACCTAAAAATGTTTAAATAAACTTTACTAAATATGAAGATTAATCTATAAAAACAAAACACAGTGACAATCTTAAGGGCTAAATCTGAAAGCAATGATGACATCTGGTTGATAGGAAAGTTAGTGCAATTTTTTTCTTCCTTTTCCTATCAGTTTTCATTAAAGTAAACCTGACAAAAAGCATAAAATAATTTGAAAATTATCCATGAGCAAATTTGAGATGACACACATGCTTACTTGAATTAAAAAAAGTATCAAATAATGAAGTTTACACTTAAAAATTATGAAATTTTGAACAGAGGATTTCCAAAATTGTGTTAGAATGAAACCGGAAGTCATGTTATATGAGGAATATCTCCAATTTTTAAATTGTGTTGTAGAAGAGATAACTGTATATGTAAGTATATAATTTGATCTGAAAAAGCAAATGACTTCTTACTTATAATCAGCAATAACAAATATAACAAAATATATTTCATTAGTAACTTATAATTTAGTGTGTATACAATCATGAATCTTATAACAAATTTTATGAAGATTTAAGTTTATAAAAATACTAGATATAAGGGTATGTTTAAATCTTATATATTTTTCTATATATAAGATTTTTTTTTNAAAATATCTAATATAATATAATATATTATAAATTATATATGTATTATATATATAATTTATTCCAGGACTTTATGAAATCTTGGTATTGATTTAATGATAGAAGTTACTTTTAGGTAAATGATGTACAGTATCTAAAAATAACTTCTACTGATTTAATATGTTAGAGATCTGAATGTTTTGTTTAATTATTGTTACAGTGATTAAACAGAAACAGAGTTATGGAATGGAAGCAAAATATGAATAATGTGAGATGATAATTTTCTACTTCAATTAAAATAATCCCATTTATATGTTTTTAATATACTGTAACACAATTCACTGTAGATCTTATTAAACATATCTAAAAATTTTACGTAATCTTATATATCTTTTTCAGCTCCTTAAAATAAACTATTATTGAAAGTAAAACTTTAAAGATATTTCCTGAATTAATTAAAATCTAAAATTTTGTTAAGATTTGGAATAAAACTCATGAATCCAACTTCAGTGAAATCAAAGTTTCATACAATATGCAAAAAATTCATGATTTAATGTACAGTAATTATTTAATGTTAACTTTGTTATAGTATATCATCAGATTCAAAAAATTAGTTATATAGATCTATACAACATCCAAAATATGCATTCTTAAATTAATTACTTGAGAATGTACTGATGGGTGAAAATCCTCCTTAGGAATTAAATTCATTTATTTGTGTTTTTCAGTCCAGTTCTTCAGTTTGGACTTTTTGTTCATATGAATATCTTCCTTTGTATCCTGCTACACAATACCTATTTGGAATTATTTAGTTTTATCATGATAAAAAGTAAAGGAAAATAATATAGCTAATATAGAAAAATGCTTCTAGTTAAACTTGGATGTTGATGTCAGACTGTGTGTTCCAAACAGCATTCAGATTTTGTATCTAGTGGTGTTGGCTGAACCTATAATGGGATAAAAGTATTTGAAAGATTGTGTTATATTCATAGTATTTTAAAAGATATATAATACAGCATTGCCAGATATTCACATAACTGTATTATGTAAATTATTCAAACAATGTCTCTTCATTAAAATCAAAATAGTCTGAAAAATAAAAATTCAGTAAAAAGCTATATATAATTTAATCGAAACTGATTTAAAATTTTAGTTTTTTAAAGTTTTTTTTTAAATTTAATTTTTCAAAATTTTCAGTTTTCATAAATATGTTTTCTTTTACAGGGAAATTGGATTAAAGGAAAATTGTGCTGTCCAACATGCAGTAACCGTATTGGATCCTATGATTTTGTCAGTGGCAGTCAGTGTACATGCGGCATTGTACTTCCTGCAATTCATGTAGTTAAATCAAAAATAGATTTTGAACTGAAATCAGAAATTGACAGTATCAAGGGAAAGATTCATTCTCCACCTGTTGTCAATATTCATAATTTGAACACGTTGGCATTGGAAGGAACCAGTTTAGCTATACCCAAAGAGACTGTGTCTCAGATTTCACATTTTGATTCATGCATGATGGAAAATGTTGAAGGTTCAGATCTTGTTCCTGAAAATGATAATTTGAATAATATGAGGAAAGAAAAAGATACTTTTCAAGAAGGTGATAAATCTAAAGCTTATTTATAAAATTAAATAAAATAAGTTTTAAAATAGTTCCTTTTTGAATAAAAATTATATTTTGAAAATCATAATTTTCCTTTATATTTGTGATTCATAATGATTTTATCAATAACCAGAAGAAACACTCATTGTTATTTATCGTATTTAGTAATTTTTTCCTTTTTTTTTATGTAAAAAGGGAAAGAATTAATGTAATCGTATGTAGTGACATTAAATAGATTTGATATCACAAAGTTTGTCTTACTAGAAATAAACATAAGAAAATATATCAAGTCAATTAATCAAGTGAATTTTTAAATTTCCAAATATTTGATTCTACTAGCTCTTCAAATATCAATATATTACTTTGATAAATTTTTTTGCTTCTTAATTTTTATCATCAGTTGTTTCAAAATATTTTGTTTTTTGAAACTAAAAAATAAGTTTATACAAAAAGTATATTCATGGTATTTATTTAATTTAATGCATATACATATAATAATAATAATTTTTGTATAAAAAATTCTAAAGTGTTTAAATCGATTATATGTTGCATTTATTCATTTTCCCATTAAACAATATTTTTCATAAATAATAATTTTTCATCTGCTAATAACTAATTGAGAAATAGTATTTTATATATTAAATTTAATTGTTTTGGCTTCTTTGTTTAATTATTACACTCTTCTCTAACTGCACTTAAATAATAACCAAACCTCAACAAAAATCTTTAAAAAGGCTGCATTTTAAAGATTTTTGTCAAGGTTTGGTTTAATTATTATCTAGTAAAACCTGTAAAAGCCAAAATTGCACAGGACTCTAATTTTTTCAGGTTTTTTATACATGCTTCTTTTCCTTAATTACATATATTATGCTTTTGTCCACTTTGGATGTTATTGTGAACTAGGACTTGTTATACCAAGGGAAGAGAATCACACAATTTTAAATTAAAATATCTTTAACTTAATACTGTACACTACTACATTTTAGCATTTTGGACCAAAGCCTCTCCTTCAGTCATTACATTTTCTAATTACAATTTTAAAAAATTCAGTTTTAACAGAATTTTCATTTTAGGCAAATTGAAACAACAAAAAGTCACTGCTTCAAAATGAACAAATGTTTTAACCAATTTTCATTCTATACATAGTATTTACTATATTTATTGAAATTATCTCAGAATTAAAGGAAATAGACATAGAAAATGAAATGTATATATTGTATATGCTCTCAACCAAAAAGAGAGAGAGAGAGAGTTCATGCAAAGCACTAATGAAACTTCTTTATGCTTTCTCACTGAAAATGTTGACTTTTAGATTTTAGATGCCATCTTCAGTGGTTTACTTTTTCAAATTTGAGCTTGATACTCCTAAATTCTCTGTTTGTTCTAGTCATGATTAATGGTGAATTAGTTATTTTTTTTTGGTAATATGTTCTTTTTAAAACATCTACCAGTGACTATTAGAAGTATTATCTTATTCTATCAATCCAATCTTTATAAAACATGTCAATACATTAGAATAGCAGAGCAATCTTTCCATTATTTTAAAACTGAAATGGATTTGTACGCATTTGAGATTTAAAGTTTACTAGTCTTTAACATATTTTGCTTTGTTGTTTGATGATATGCTGTTATCAATCACATTAAATGTATTTTAAGTATCAGTATGTTGTTGGGCTTAAATTACTTTTGTCTTTGAAACAATTCATGAATGCATTAATCCCAATTATGATATTATTTAATTAAATTATTACATGAAATCCATTATGATATATGCAAAAATATAAATCAATGGATTTGTTTCATGTTTAATTTTTTATTGACTTTTTGATTCAATATTTAAATTTTCACCTTTGATAGGTTCTAACTAATAATTTATGAATTAGTTGATAACAGCAGTAATAGCTGGTTGGTCTAGGCAGTTAAGCATCAGCCAGAGCTTTGGGACCAGAGATTGAATCGAAATGGTTGATAAACCCAAGAATATGTTTAGACTTGTCCTTACCATCCAGCTACTGTATCTCCAATGTGGGCTTGGTCAAACTCATAATGGTTATGATTAAAAGGTCCTCTTAGTGCCCAAAAGGTAGAAAGAGTAAAATAAAAATATATAGCAGATATATAGCACATACAGCTTTCTGTGTACATCTTGCAGATTTTACCTTAGGATATTTTATGAGAAAAATTTGATTCTAATGTTGAAATCACTGCAATTTTCTATTTTTCACAATTTATCTTGAGAAGATTCCACCTCACACGTTTTATTATAACTGTGTAATAATTAATTGGACTGTGATGAATGATTGGACTCTGTGATTAAAAGTCTTTTTATTTTTTTATCGAAATACTTTTACTTGCATTTATTTTAAAACATTTTTGGCATTCTTGGCTCATCTTTAGACAACTATTATTAATTTAACAACTCTTGTAAATAGTAAACTTCACATTCAGTTCCATATCCAAACTATTAAATGACAGATTACCTTTTTCATAAAATAGAACTATACTAACTTAACATATATAAAATATTTTTTAATTTAAACTTTAAAAAGAACTTTTTTATATGATTAACATACAGTATAATGTTCTAAATGATTTAAAATATTAAAAATTTATTGATATATTAAATTATTTTTACCAAAAAAGTTCTATAAGTTTTCCATTTAATATCTAAAAGTTTTAATTAGAAATATTGGTAGAAAATTTTTAACTTTCATATTGTCAACTATAGATTTCCAAGTGTTCAATTAACCATGAGAAAATAATGTTTTAAATAAACTTAGCTAAACAAACTCTGAAATATGTTGAAAATATATTTTACTTTTCTATGCCAGGATTTATTTATTTCCAGAAAAGATTTAGAAATAGAAAATTGAAAAGTATTTAACATTCAGAAAATTGTAAATATAATTCTTGCTCAGGAATTGTTTCATATGTTTATAGTGTTTTCTATAATTTTAAACCTCACTTTTAACAGCCAAATAAAACACTTGTAATTTACAACATATCTAATTTATTTGATTATATTCTATGTAATATCGATTTAATGTTGATTTGTGCTTCAGTTGAATAGTAATTCAGTTTAAAAAAATAACTAAGTAATAATAATTTGTGATAATACTTTCTGAAGAAATTTTGAAATTTATCTGTACATGCTCTCACTGACTGATTCATGACTGACTCATTCAATCACTCTTTGCCTTGAAATGATGAGTAGAAACAGATATACAGAAGATTGAAATCATGGAGTCAAAAAGAGATATCAAGTATATTATCAGAAAAATTTTAAATATTGAAAAAGTAAAGTATTTTATACACTATAAGGTGTTAAAGTTCACCCTCAACATCTCATAGAATACCATACTGCCTGAATGATTAATTACGTACCAAATGCTTATTTTTTAAAAATCATAAGGCTCAGTAGAGGCAAGCACTCAAGTAAGCAAGCAAACAAATGACTGAACAGTTCAACAAAGCAAACCGTATTATACTGGAATTAGAACACTTTATATCTATCTGAATTTACATTTTATTAAAAACTAAAGATATATGCATCATCTGGAGAAAATATAAGTATCATTGTCGTCGGCTAATTTTTTTGACCTGCATTTCAAATTTCATAAAGTTCTGTTCATTCGTTCCTGAGATATTGATTTTTATTGATATTTTTTATTTCATTTAAAAATTCTTCTTCTTTTCTCCTTCAGTCAAAAAAGTTACATTTCACAAAATGTTTGATAGTAGCACACTCAGCTTTACGTATGTTGTTTTAATTTTTTTTTGACAAAAACTTAAATTTTTAAATAACATAATATTGAACTTATTTAAATCACATTAGTATATATTAATATAATGTTCAAACTCTGGATTAAAGGTGGGAAAAATCCAGTTTCACTTCTGGAACTGTTGGAACTGATACAAGTACAGAACTATCTGACTAATGGTTTCTCAGAACTGCTTAGTATATTTGACTAGATGGTTCCATGGAATCATTATGTTCTGTTGGACTTGACAGTTTCTCATCAGTTTTATATATATAATACAAGTTTTGTCAATCTGTTCTTGCTTTTTATTAGTCATTAGTAATAAAATAAATCTGTAATGCACTGCACACTTGGTGGTGCATTACAGATTTATTTCATTATAAACAGTTTGAAGGAATTATTATCACATTATATACACTTTAAAGCAATAGTGAAAGGAATTGTGATCTGTAATGAATGCACCGTGAAGTGTGTTTGAAAACTGAAATACTGTTTTATTAAACATGACATTGGTATCATTACCAAAACTGTATATAATGAAAATTCTTGATACCACTATTACAGCTTTTGATGTCAGAATGATTAGTTGACGTCCATGATATCACAACTTTCCATAGCGAAATAATAATGAATGTAAAATATACTCATTGAATGAAGGTTTCATACTTTATTGTTTTGTGTACATCTAAGATGAAACAGTAATAATTTCAAAACGATTGATCTACGCATGCTTGATGGCAGTTACTGTACCTATAAGGTTTAAAGGTATATATTTTGGAGTTATTATTTATTGGTAATTTGCTCTACAATACTTTAAATTACATTGTTTTCTTTAGCCATTCAGTATTATTTATTAAAAGTTTTAGAATTTACAGTTATTTAGTATAAACTAATATTGATTATATAATAAACTACTATAAAATGCATCACAGACAAAAGTGTGTTGTAAAGCAATTAAAAAAAAGGATTGGAAGATCTGTAGTTTTAGTTATATCATCTCATTAGGAAATTGAATTAATATCTATCTCACATGAAAAATTCTGAAATTTGATGTCTGCATAAAGCTTTCATGTTCCTTTATGAATGATTGGATTAAATTCATAATGCAAAGCCTAGAGAACATTAAATATTTCAGTTTAAAATATTGAATCCCAAAAAGAACAAATTGTATTTCAAATATTTAAATTTGAAAATAGGTATTATTTTAAAAAATATTAAAGGTTATTTGCTACACACTAGTAAACTTTGGATAATTTATTAGGAAGATAATAATATAAAAAGTTAAAAATACTTTAAATGAGATATCAATATTCCACTAATTGAAATACTTAAAATCTTTGTATATATTAAAACATATATGTAGAAAATGGTTTCATTTTATATACA